AAGCCAGGTACACAGATACCAATGACACAGGGCTCAGGCAACAATGGGATAAGTAGCCATGAGTGGAAGTTAGTGGACAGAGGGATTAGTTTTGCCACAGAGAAAAAACAAAGTTTCACAGTTAGAGATATGCTTCAAAGTATGAGAAAGAAATGGTTCTCTTCCAGGAAAGAAAAGGGAAATTTTCAGTGGAGAGTTTGACAGAACAAGGGTACCAAGGTATACTGCACATGCTGTTTATGGAAGTAATCCTTAGACGAGTTTTAAAGTGCTGGTGATAGGCTTAAATGGGAGGTAGTAGATTTCTTTATCATGTTGGATAAGATATTTTAATCTCTACCAAAGTATCTTTTTAAAAATATTTTATTTATTATTTTATGTGTATGCATGTATTGCTTGTATGTGTGTAAGTGCACCCGTGTCACGCAATGCCCACTGAGGTCAGAAAAGGATATTGGATCCCCTGGAACTGGAGTTACAGACAGTTCTTAGCGCCATGTGGGCGCTGGGATTCGAATATGGTCTTCTACAAGAACAGCCAGTGTTCTTAACCACTGAGCCATCTCTCCAGCCCTCTCTACCAAATTTTAAATTACACTGATAATATTTAAATGTATCATAACATATGCATGACCTTAATTGGCAAATTCTTTTTGTAGTTTCTTTATGCTCATTGTTATTTTTAAACTTTTTTATGTCTTCATGTAGTCATTTGACAGATATTTATTAACTTCCTGTCATAGGAAGCTTGCAATCTAGAAGGCTTTATTTACATATAAAATGTCAAATATGAAACACCCAGACCAACACTGCACATCTTAGGGATTCATGTTTGCTCTGTGTGCTACTCTAATTCATGATGGACTTCAAAAGAGAGTATGCATGAGTGACTTAAGAATTTCTAATTGTAAGCTTGAGATAAAAATTAGCTGCATTTTGCCTCAGGAAATAAGGAATCCTTGAAGTGGTACATGTAACCTGATTTCTAAACATTACTCAAAGCATACATGTATTTAAGTTATGTGGCAATCCTAAATCTGTAAAAATGATAAGGTTTATATATCATTTAAAAACAAATCTAATAAAAAATTAGCTGCAGTTTGAGGGCAAAAGCAATGTCTTTGCTGAAGAACAGGGTTCTGTGGGATTGTGGACCTGAATTTTGCCCTTGAAACCCATAACATTGCTATATAATCCTTAAAAATGAATCACAGCGTCAATGAAATGGCTCATTGTTACAAAGGGCTTGCCTTAATCCCAGCAGGATGGAGGCACAGGCAGTTATCTGTGAGATAGAGGCCAGCCTAGTCTAGGATACTGTGGTCCAGGATACCTAGGGAGACACTGTCTCAAAAAACAGAAATCAAACAAACAGAAAAATTCTTTCTGTAAAAGCCTGATGAATTGAGTTCAATTCTCAGAATCCATTGCGGAAAGAGGGAACCAACTCCTGAAAGTTGTCCTCTGACCTCCACCCATGTGCTGTGCATACGCACACACACACACACACACATACACACACACCACATGCTTATACACACACATATACACACACACTATACACACATACACAATAATAAATAAATCAGATTTAAAAAGTTTTGCTATGAAGTTGAAATAATATTCTACTTGTAGATTGGAAATTTAAGGTCATGTATGTATACTATATATATGATGTTCTTTATATGTAATAGATACCCAGGAAATGGTAACTATTTCTGTTTTCATCTGCTATCACCTGCTTCAATTGTAGCATGTATTAATTTGCAATTGTAATTCTCTCTTTACATTACATACTTTTCTTCCCTCGCAAGACTGTAACTCCTCCAGGGTAGAGACTCTCTTCTGTCCCTCTTTGAATCTTCACAATCTAGCACACAGAAAACATTTAATACATTTGGACAAAATAAGTTTTTCTCTTCCAATGGTTCCCTATCTTTTGGCACCCTTATAAGATTGCACTGACAGAACATGTTCAGCCACATCGTTATGCCTAAGTTAGGACACTACTAATGGGAAAAGAACTTGCAGCTTCTCCACTGTGGAGGTGAAGGGGCTGACCAAGTCAATTCCCTGGTTTCTGGGTTGACAATGTCAGTTACATTTGACCAGTGAATAAAATGCATAAACTCTTTGTACTGAATTCAGGTAGAAACGTGAAAACTTCCTGTTTGTGAGTTGCCTTGCTCTAATGGTTGCAGTGGGGATGAGGAGTAAAAATAGTCATTTTCTAAAAATAAGGGACTATTAAGTTATATAGTGAAAATAGAAGAAATATTCATATTCATATTAGTCGATCATTACTGGGTCTTGAAGGATGCTGCAATTTAAAACAAAATCAACTATCAAATTATTTTAAAAACTGGAAGTATGTTTGCTTCCGTGCTGATCAGTGTGGTCACTGTTGCAGGGTTGGCAAGCATCTGGCTCAGGAGGCTGTGAACTGGGATGAAAAGATGAACATCTGGTCTTATTTTCCATGTCTATTTTGTTCATCATTATTTTGACAACTGTCACAAAGGCCAGACATTATAGACATGCTTTGATGTTTCTTGAACTCATGGTTACCTCTTTGACTTATCTGTTTGTCTGCCACCTGTGAAAGTGATGTAGTTCCTCGTAGTCTGCATGGCAAACCACTTTATCATGGGATAGTAGTGTTAGAGATGAGAAACAAGAAGACAGGAGTTATAATAATAAATTTATCAACTTTTGAAGCAATGCCTAACACATGTTGCTTTAGAAAGTGGCTAAAGTATAGTTTTTTAAACTATGATCTGTAGAACACACAGAAAACTTTGCAAAAGGACATGACATTATTGTATTTGTCCATCTCATGAGATTCCTTTGCCTTTGAACACCACTTATTTTATTTCTTCTAATGCACAAACATTGAACTAGTATCTTAGTTCAAAATTTTAAAATATATTATTATTTTTTATTTTATGACTATGAGTGTATTGCCTGCATGTATGTGAGTGTACCCATGTCATGCAATGCCCCAGTTCTAAATTTTTTTTAATGTATTTATTATTTGTTTATTTATTTTTATTTTATGTGTATGTGTGTATTGCCTGTGTGTAGATAAGTGCACCTGTGTCACGCAAGGCCCGCAGGGGACAGAAGAGGCTGTTGGATCCCCTGGAACTTGAGTTATGGACAGTTGTTAGCTGCCATGTGGGAGCTTGGATTTGAACCCGGGTCTTCTGCAAGAACAACCAGTGTTCTTAACTGCTGAGCCATCTCTCCAGCCCCTAGTTCTAAATTTTCAAAAGAGAAATAATAATAGTTGTTTCAGACTCACAGGCTGATTAATTCTAATTCTATTACTGAATGTGTCTAAATATGCTAGTCTATTCATAGTTTTAAAATATTTCTGTTATCTACTTCTGTCACTATATTGCCTATGTTAAGGTGTTTATGAGCTGTTTCCTTTTTTTATCATAGAAACATAAAACTAGGTCAATATTTTTAAGTTTTTGTAAGTTTCATAGCCCCATCTCCCTGTTTGCTCTGTTACACCTTAGAGATCTTTTTGCTTCATATAACATAGTATATTTTTATATTTCTGTAAAAGTAGAGAAGTTGTAGATGCCTCTGTTCAGAATAACAGGCTAATATCTTTCTTCTACCAAAATTGAGGTCTTTAAACCTTCTTCCCAGTTTGCCATACTTCTAAATAGTACTCTACATGAATAACTCTTTCTTAAATACATCATTTTATTATGTATGTATATATTTACATATATATGCATGTGGAGGTATGTATATATGTGTGTGTATATATTACATGAGATATATTAGTTTAAGGAATCACTCTCCAATTCAAATGGCCTTAATCACTAGAAACAACTTTGCTGCCACAGTCCTACCTTGCTTGGAACCTGCCTGGCAAGAGAGAACCCATCTCTGGGCCTTGTTCTTTAGATGCTCTCTCTGGTCTTCCTGTCCTCCAGCTTCTCTCTCTTTTCTAAGGCAATAAGAAGTTCATAACCTGAGTGAAGGCTGCCACCAAAGACCACATCTCTTTTGGGGGGCCCATGGGGCCCTGACATTTCCCATCTAAACAGCCCAGATGTTTCCTTGAGCTCTGGGTATCTGCCCCACCTGTACATGACCCTGGACCCTGGACTGAGGGGTGGCCATGGCTCTTCGAGGGTGGTGGGAGGATCTTGCCCAGTAAAGCAAGAGCTGATAAGCAGGGTAAGAGTGGATTCTCCCCCCAACACACCATGTCCCCGCATGGGACACTAAGATTCCTAAATTTAAATCTGCCAACCAGGTCATTATAGGTATACGCTGTGAATGTAGTAGTACAGGAAAATCTTATGTATCAGTTTGTATTTGATTTATGTTTAAGTATTTTGACATGTGATCTATAGGCTTCAAAAATTCCTGTTCTGGGTCCTGGGAGTGTTTAGGGGTAAAACTACTTCACCAAGACTTTTTGTTTTAATTGCTCATATCAGAAGAATGGTCGTTTTTCAATTATTATTTTATTTTGTGTGTATGAGTGTTTTGCTTGCTTGTAGATAAGTATACCTGTGCTGTGCAATGCCTGAAGAGGTCAGAAGAGGGTGTCAGATCCCCTGGAACTGAAGTTAAAGATGGTTGTTAGCTGGCATGTGGGTGCTGGGACGAGGACTTGGGTCTTCTGTAAGAGCAGCCAGGACTCTTAAACACTTCGCCATCTCCCCAACCCCAGAAGAGTGGTCTTCAAGTGCATACCTGCCATTGTTCTGTCCACTTTCAACCCATATGGTAATGCCAAGAAGTGGCATTTAAAATAGAGTTAGTCTGGAGGCTGGTACCCTCATGCTTTAGTTTTATCCATTTCCTAATCTTAGATGCGTGCAAACGGGAAGGACTGGAAACCAGATGGGCAGCAGTGCTTAACAGGGAAGGCCTTCTGCATGTAGCAGTTTTTACTGGGTTATTTCAGCTGTTCCCGTTTTCTTTCTCCTTCGCTAACACAGCACTGGTTCCTGTCCTTGCCCTAGGTATCATTACTATGGGATTGGCATCAAAGAGAGCAGTGCATATTACCACTCCGTTTATTCTGGAAAGGGCCTGACAAGGTAGAGTTATATCATGTTCAAGATACATTCTCTGCATTTCTATAAATATGCATGATATCTATTCAATAAAGTCACTTTGTAATTTTTGCTTATTATCAAGATGTTTCCTTGTAATCATCAAACCTTAATGTCAACTTTGCTGTTTTTTAAATTTTTTAAAATTTTTATATATTTTAACATGTATGAATGTTTTGCCTATTTGTAATGTACCTGTGTGCACAATGCCCTCAGAAGCCAGAAGAAGGCATCAGATCCAGGGAAATGAAGTTATGGATGGTTGTTAGCCACCATGTAGGTTATTGTTTGTAACTGCTGAACCATCTCTACAGCCCCTTAATGTCTACTTTGTATGGTGATTGCAATGATGCAAGCTAGATTACTTCGTAAATTGTATAATTTGCAATAGTGAGAAAGTAATGATGAATTAAGTGTCCTTAGGGGGCAAGGAAGAGAAGTCAGGGAAGCAGAATTTTCTTTAAATTACCACTTACTCATAAGGTTGTGCCTATTTTCAGGCTGGATCAAATAAAGGCAGAAAAATAAGATATTTTGAAGAGATAGTTTGTTTTAAAGATTTATGTGCTTGAATAATAGTTTACCAACATGAAAAGCTCATTATAATAATAGCTAAACACATTTACTTTGAATATCACCTTACCTTAATAAAATAAAGCTACTGTCCTGTTTGGGTCTCTGTGACAAAAAAAAAAGAAACAAACAAACAAAAAAAACATGTTACTATAAAAGCCATATTGTTGTAAGCTATCAGGAGGGAGATATTAATAAATGAGGTGATATCCAATAAGACTAGTGGGCATACTCAGTTTTTAAAAGAAAGCTGAAAAAGAATAATTAAACTTCAACTGAGATTTCTTCATCGTAGGTTACTGAAAATTACTTGTAGCTCTCTCAAAAGAAGAAATTACTTTAAAAGTATTTTATGAAAAAAAAAGAGTCACAAGTTAAACCATGGTAAATTCAGAAACTATAATGGCAGATTACTAATGACTCCCCACGGAACACACACCACACACACACACACACACACACACACACACACACACACATCTTTAGTATAAAGTGTTTTTGTTTGCCTCAAATCTTACTTGACTTTCCTAAATATTTTTTATTTCAGTTTTCTCCCAAAGACTATTTTTTTCCTTAGAAAGCTGAGTAGTAATCATAGTATGAAGTAACTGTTTTTTAATGTCCTTAAATACTATTGCTATAATTTCTAACTAATGGAAATGTATGATTTTTAAGGTTTTCGGGGAGCAAACTAAAGAATGAGGTAAGAATTACTTTCATTTGTATTTCACATCTGCTATAATATGTCTTACTAACTCAAAAATTTTTGTTACTTAAATATAGAAATAAATACTACTTTTAAAAGCACCTTGACTAACCGAGAACTCCACATATAGATAAGGTAGACTTTGAGTGATGAATCTTTACCCAAATCTGCTGAACAACTTTCAATTAATTTGGGAGGGATAACTGTTCAGTAATCTAATACCATATACTTAGGAAATTGAAAAAACAAAATACTACTGTTGATCTAAGAAGTTTTCACCTAAACAATAAAAAAGTATATAGAAAGAATTAGAATTTGGGCTATACTCATTTAGGCAAAAACTTTAAGATTATCAAGAAGCCCTACTGTTACACTATGCCCTGGTTTGTTTTGCTACGTGGTTTCTCTCTCTCTCTCTCTCTCTCTCTCTCTCTCTCTCTCTCTCTCTCTCTCTCTCTCTCTCTTCCTTGACTTGCTCTCCTTAAAGAACAGAACAGCAAACTGACTTTATCTAAATGAGTTAGACTACCATTAGGGACTGCATGGCTAATTAGACACATGATAAGGCCTTCATTATCTTCAACTTAACTAATCATTAAAACAAGGCCCTGCCACAGAGCTAAGGGCATATGACAATGTGTTGTGTGGCAAATCTAAACCGAAGGTAAAGTGTAACTCCATTAGTTTGATGAAATAATGCAAGCAGATTATCTTAAGAAATAGTAAAAGCCCCCTACCCCCTGAAATGACCAATTTCTTTCCGGTACTTTTAAAAGAGTTAATGGTTAATTACATAATAAACCCCAGATTGCTTTTTTTATCAATGAAATAATAGCTTCTTATTAAATAAACAATTATGAAACTGCAAAAATATTGACTTAGAAATACACTTTGGTTCACTAAAGATTAGGTCAATAGGGATTTTAAATGATTTCTCTCCGGTGTTCTCAGCAGGTGGATGAAGTGCAACACTGTCAGCCGATCTGCCATGTGCACAGGAAGCCTTATCTCACAGAGTAAAAGAAAAACAGTTCTCAGACCTACTTTTGCCTCCTTAGAAGAGTAATTTTCTAATTCAGATTTAGTTAATAAAGTTTTTAATAAAACAGTCAAGGCAGAATATACAGACTATGTGTTTTCTACAGACACCTGCAACAATAGAAAACCGTTTTATGATGCTGACTAAAATTAACACACACTTCTGAACTTTCTAAAAGCCAGAATTAAATAATTTTTTGCAGGGCTGAAAACTGAGTTTAAGGCCTTGCATATGTTAGACAAATGTTCTACCACTGAGTTGTACCCCCAGCCTAAGTGATTTTCAAATGAAAAGCTATTCGTTTGCACAATAAAGTTGAAATTTTAAAATCATGTTTTTGTTCTTAGGGTGACTAACCGTTACTTTTGCTTAATACATAAGGGAATCAGTACAAATCTATGTATACTTCCAGTTATATGAACACTAGTGACTGTGAGGGTGAGTAGATGCTAATGCTGTTGATTTATAGCTAAAGAAAACAAGGCTGAAAGATGGCTGGGCCTAAACCAATCAGAGTAGAGTTCTGCTTTTTTATTTTTTGAAATGCAGAAATATTTATTTTGGTTTACTTCATTGTTTTGGAAATTTGGTTTTGGTTTATAAAACATAGAAATAGCCAACACTGAAAGCAAACATTCAAAACCCTGTTGTGACAAATTATTGACTTCCTGTGCAATTAAGAACACCATCTGAAGGTAGGCTACCAAATAGTGTTACTACAGTGATGGTTCTTTAGTGCAGACCCTGTTGTACTTCAATAATACGTGTACTGTCACATATCTGACAACAGTGGCTTTAAATGTATAAACAACAGTTCAATTCAGTCAAGTATGCAAGATTTCTGCTTTTTAAACCCATGGGAAAATTACTAATTAACATATACATGGTATTACAAGTTCTAGGGGACAAAGTAGTAAGTGGAGATATATATGGTCTTGTAATGAAAGATTTATAGTTTGGTATGAAAACATATTTTGAATAGGTCATTATGAGGAATTATAAACGATATCATGATGTTTTGCCTAACCTAGGGAGTTTCCCACAAGAAATGATGTATAAGGAAAGAACTGAGAATAAATGGCAATTTGGAGGCGCAGACTGGGATAAAGAGGAGTCAAAATAGATGAAATGGCATAAAGAAAGGTTTCTCAGCATTATAGTTCTGTTTGGGGATGTGTTCTGTACTCTGGAGGACACAGTAGCATCACATTATCTCTGCTACACTTATTAGAATGTAGGAGCAATCTCCTCCCCCAACCATTGTGAAACTGAAAATGCCTCTGGCATGCCAAGTGTCAACAACTGGCATTTATAAAGACAAAGCAAAAAAAAAAAAATCATGTGAAAAAGATGAGTAGAGATAGTGATTGGGTTTATATTAATAAAGATTTTTAAATGGGAAGCCATTGAAGGACACAGGTGACATCAGACTTGTGCTTATAAGACTTATTCTGGATAAGAATGGAATAATCAATTATAAGAGCATAAGATGGGCAGCAATAAATCTTTGGAGGCTTTATGAACAGAGTGAATGAAAGGCTATCTGCAACTGTACAGTGGCCTCACGATGCAGACAAGAGGCTTTGAGTGAGGGGACACTGGAGGAGAAGCAGGCAGAAAGGCCACAAGGAGAATGGGTTTGGTTTGGGGCTTGTGTTTGATTTACTTGGGCAACATCCAGTGGATGTTGATGATACTGACTAGAAAAGAGGAGTCAGGGTTACGTTACTGGCGATAGAGGCCTTTGCCATGAACAGCAAGACTGAGAGGGAAAACAAGAGGTTACTGGAAAAGGAGTTGTGAAAAGTAGAGGGCTCAGCAAGATGACTGAGGAGAATCCAGAGAGGCAGGAAGTGAAGGAAGACAACGTAGGTCGCAGAAGCCAGAGGTGGGTGGATGGGTGGGGGAATGTCCAACAGAAGGGACCAACATCAACTCAGACGATGCTGAAAGGTTATCAGGATTAGATGGGAAAAGGTGTATGGGATTAGTTCAGTGGAGAAAATGAATGACTTCAGGGAGAGCAGGTTCAGACTGGTTTGTGAAATGAGTGGGAAGCGGTGCCAAATGTAGGAAATTTAGCCAAATTGAGGGTGGTAGTTGGAAGAGGATTTGGAATCCAGTTTGTAAGGATGATGTGACCAATGCTCTAGTGTGGGTAAGAAGTATCCGGTGAAGAATAGAGAAATGAAGACATGGAAGAGAGTGAGGAGGAAGGAGGTAGAGAAGGCACTTCCCTTAAAACTGGAGAGGAAAAGGAAAAATCAGATGCAATTAGATTTGCAGATTCTGTGACAGGAAGGTGAAGCAGCTTCTATGGAAATTTCAGATTTCTCTCAGTTCACCTGCTGTGAAGCAGGATCCGGGGACAAAGTAGAGTTTGAAGGGCTATTTCAAGCAACACCCTGTCCCTCACCCTTAAATGCAGTCTTGATGTCTCTAGGCACCTCCTGTATATGGGAACTTTTCCATGGAGAATAATATTAGTTAGGCATCTTCCTGGGAGAATTAAGCACAGCATTACTATGCTGACATTATAATTACCTGAACAAATAAAAGTTTAAATCTTAAATTTAGTTTTTAAGAGTAGAGGACACTTGTTGCCCCTAATCTCTTGGAACTGGCCATGTCCTTGAACTGTGCTGATGGAACTGTTTTGTTGGAGGGCAGCTATGGTCACCACTATACCACCAACATGGATATCTTGTTGGAACTCTGTCTCTGGACCTTGTCCAGACTCCAGCCCACCCACCATTTTATTCAAAATGTTTCTCCAGCTTTAATTGGGGAAGTAACAAACTTGGCTCCACCATACTCTGAACAGCCCATCCGGCCTTTTCATCCTTAGTTCTAGAAAATCCCATTCATCCAAGGTCCTCACAAGCTTCACTGTTCAGTGGAGATGGGGTGCCACCTCTCAGAGTTTTGATGTGTTAATTCTCAAGCATACCCGCATTCATTCATTCATTCATTCATTCATTCATTATCTTTTTGGGTGGAGTACTGAATTGAGGTTGCCTAGGAAAGGAGATCAGGTGCCCAGGTCATAAGACACAAGAGCACCTGGTTTTGCTAGGGTTAATTAAAAGTCATTAATACACATTGTATCCATTAATAAAAGTCATTCCCACAATTAGGAAAGTAGATTTTCAAATTACTTTTGGTAAGACTTCATTTCTGACAGATCTTCTGTTGAGATGTATATCTTTGTGGAAAATAAAAACCATAGGAAATTATAAAATTTGAGTGACAGGAGCCAGCAGAAATGCAGAAAAATCCAAGAGAAGACATAAGAGAAGCATACTACCTGTTTAAAGAAAAAGCACAGGTGCAAAAGAAAAAAAAGTGATACAAGTGAGGCACACTAAATATAAATAAGTCAGTTCTGCCTGATTTAATTCATAGTTCACATTCTAGTGGACATGTGAATAGTAATTTGGGAGAATTTGTCAAAAAAGTTATAAATTTAATCTAGAAAGCTATACAGGAAGTCATAGTAAGAGCAGCATAAACTAGACAATTGCAAAAATGACTTGTTTAGTAGATACCAAAATGTATGACCCTGTGATATATACTCAACTGACATTAATATAGAAGGATACAAATTATGTGTACCAATTTTAAGTAAAATTGATCAGGAACCAATTCATGGGAAATAACTTTTTAAGATGTGAACAGGAGTGGTCCAAGCCAAATGAAGACCATAAGTATTCTTGTGGAGAGACAGGAACATGAATAGGAAGGGCTTAATGCTGGAAATACCTAACTGCATAATCAGAGTGGAAAGTATGTTGGATTTTATCAGCTATTCTACATTGCTTTGTAAAGTTCTAATTAGTTCAGACTGTAAAAGAAACGAAAGCCAACCACAGCAGAAGCTTAACAATTATAAAGAAAAAGAAAACCAAAAAAACAGAAAGTGAACAGTAAGAGCAGTTACTTTGTAGTCTTATGAATT